GGCCAGTAGCGAACCAAGATTTGCTGCAATTTTTGTGTGAGCAGTGAAAAAAATTACTGAAAAAATTCAATTTGATACTAAATTCAACCGAAGGGGGTCATGATTTAGCTAATTTAGTTAGAACTTGCTAAATGGCATTAAAAAACAAAAAAAAGAAGAAACTCCTTTCAGAATTTCTTGTTTTATGGCTAAAATTAAGCTAATTTCAAAAAGGGATAGATTGGACGACGCGATCTATAGATACGTTTTTGACGCATTTTTAATCTTTTTTTTTTTCAAATTTTGTTATCCTGGCAGTAATCGACACTGATGGTGATTTGGAGGATATTTCCATTTAAAAACTAAATATCAATGTATCAACCAGTGCTGTTTTTCAGGCCACGTCACGTATGCTGTACATCAGCTGCCACAGCCGCCTTCTGAAAGCAAATCGGCCGGTAGACTTCGTGCGCCAGAATCAATGCCTGTACTCGCTAACCGACCGGCTAGGCCAGTAGTTAGGCTGAAATCGAGCAACGATTTGAATACAGTTTGTACGAGGCGACGCTCATTAAGCGCATCTCGCTTAAAACTATTTTAGCAATTTGTTTTACTTGCTACCTTGGACTCTCTTCAGTAGACATGACGAAACCAGCAGGTTGACCATCAGATGATGTAGCTTTGATCACATCAACCGTGGAGAAACTGGCAGTTGGGAATGCCCCGCAATGAAACGTTGACTGATTAAAGTACGGAAAAAAAGTATCTGTACACTTCTGGATGCGACATGTTCGATGGTTGTTACTACGCTTTAGGAGTTAGCATTGGTATCGGAAATTTCCTTACATTTTTTTTATAAGAACTCTAAAAGCGAATATGTAGATAATATTTGCATGTTAGTGTATTAAAAAAAGTTTCTGAGAAAGTAAGAATACCATAAAGGATGCGTGATGACAGCATGCATGTGAATATCCTTTAGTGATATTGCTGGAATGTTCCCACACGCCGAACGCAGCTATGCGAAGCCTCGCGATCCTGGGCTGCTTATCTTCAGTTAGTACCCACCGCCTGTTCAGTGTATGTGCGCTACCTTTTTAGAGGTCGCTAGAGTGGTCGTTTATTTTCTCGCAAGTACCACTCACTAATACGTGTCGTCTACAGATTGTCGGCAAGGCGAACAACATGTTTTGCCCATCGGATTTTACTTTCTCGCGTGATCGTAATGACATCCTGCACGCCGCTTATCTGACGAAGAACCTGATTATTTATATGGTCGCGGAGAGATACGCCAAGCATCCTTCGCTCCATCGCTCTGTCCGTCACAGTATTTTTCCGTCACAGTCAGCGCTTTTGCTCTTCTGCTTTTCTGAGTGACCACGTTTCGCATCCGTACGCCATAGCCTTCTATACAGTAGTATTGAAGAAATTGGTGTAGTCCTTTCCATTGGACATCCTTAAAAAATCGGCGATGACGTGGAATTTGCGTCAACTGGCAGCCATTCGGCGTGCAGTCTTGGGCTGGAAATTGTGGCGCATATTTGCTACTTGGTCAAGATAGACATAGCTGTCAACTTCTGGGTCTACACCACTTATCTGCAGTTTTGCGGTGAGCATACCGGCACTTTGCATCACTTTCGTTTTCGACGCATTGATTTTCAGACCCACTTCCTTATCTTATGCTCTGAGTATCTCATTTACTTCGCATGGGTTGTTTGCAGAAAGAACTATGTCGTTCGCGAGGTGCAAGTAATTTAGCTGCTCGCCATTAATCTTCAGGCCACCATTCCAGTCCATTTTCAGAAGTGCTAATACGATACAGGCCATGAAAAGTTTGGGCGATATAGGTTCGCCTTGGCTCACTCCTCTTTGATCGATGTGTGGTTGGAGTTGAAAAAAGTGTTATGGCTTTTTCGTCGAGCAGTCTGAGTTTGTTTCCATAACAATTTTCACCTAGTTTCCATCGGTTCTTTCATCAACAAGAGGTCGAAGTACAGCATTCAGCTCTTTGCTATCGAATACTTATTCGTCATTAACAAACAGGAGATAAGGAAAAGCTGGTGTTCCCATGCACTTTCCACCAACTGGTTTAGATCGAAATTTTGGCCCGTCGTGCTGTAATTCCAAAACCAGCTTACTTCCTCCGCCGCGGTTCATTGAGGAGTCTTGTTAATCAGTCAATGATAATACTCGTGAATAGCTTTCAAAATGCGAGAATGAGCATATTGAGCGGTAATTCCTCAGAACTCTGTTGTTGCCTTTTTTGCACAGCAAAACCGTTTTAGACTTTTTCCAACTGCTAAGTGTTTTTCTTTTTGGCAAGGTATCGATTGAACCGAAAAGCAAGAGCTTTCCAAATTTCGGGTCCTTCGATTCTGATCATTTCTCCATTAATGCCACTTTTCATTTGGAGAATTGCACGCCTTATCTCGCTGACAAGTACTGGGAAGATTTGCTACTAGATGACGCGAATTTGGTGGTGGGACGTCAGTGCGTGATGCAATCAGATTTGTGTGGATTTCTTTACAAGTATTCTCCGTATCTGTTCGGATCGTTATTCGACATTCGTCCCCACCATTCAGCGCTGACACTGTGATGCAAAAATAGCTCTCCGACAATTCCTCAGGCTCTTTTTTTTTGAAACCGTCTTATCTTCCGTTGACGACTGCAGTTTCCGAGATCCTCTTTTAACCTCCCTTTAAAGTGTCTGCGGAGAAGGGAATAGTCTATTGAGTTTTATCCCTTGTCATGTTTCTTTGCATTTTATGCTGCATTGCAAAAGATTTTTGTAATTGCTAGAAATCCAGCTTTGCGGATTTGATGGTTAATGTTTGTCCGAAAATTATATCTTGCCAGAAAGTTGTCTTTTTCGATTCTGATTGTGACATATTGACTTTGTTGAACATATCCTGCGAGTAAAGAAATATTCATGCTTTATATTTGCGCAATATTCGGCAAAAATTCTCTTCGATGCAAGGTTTCTGTTGTTTTCGGGTTATGTATGCGTTGCTTCATGCTTCTTGTACTGCTAAATCCTGGTATTATACAGTGAACAGATTTTGTTTTTTCATTTCTTTTGTAACTTTTTGTTTTTTTTTTTCTGCTTGAGCAACTGTTTTTCGCAAATTTTATAATCACATGCAGAAGTGAAAAAAGTAAGAGCCCTCATACCCCTTTTAAAATTTCTGGTATATGCTGGGGGATCAAGTCCGCCAGCATTTTGCTTCTGAGCAATCCTCGAAAAAGGAAGCCGTCAGCAGTCTTGTC